GAGTAAACTGTTCAGGCTTTCCCTGCGCGGCGTGATAGCAGTTCATCGCAGTCAACCACAATACCATCTTGGCACGCCATATCATGAAATTCTTATCATCAAATTTATTTGGTTTCAAAGCAGCAGCAAAACCACTGACAGAAAATTGCCTAAGATAAGGTTTTTGGATTGTTAGAAATTTAGACATTTTCATTATCAGTTTAATCCAGAAAAATAACATCAGCAGGTTTGTGATGGCATACATATGCATGTGTATTTCTCTAATGAACACTACAGCATGCAGAGATGACATACAGACGAATACAATAGTAGCGAGTACGGTAATCACAGAGATTAGAATGTACCCCGCGGAGGGTCCCATGCCGAGGGCATCGGAGGCTTCATTCGCACTAGTCGACATAGCGCGTTGCTTGAAGTCACGGACCACAGTCGGTGCAGGACGATGTACGCAGTGCAGTCCCACGAACGGATCACCAGGAAGAAGGCAGCTTGTGGTTCCGTAGGCAATCACCGGGAAGAAGACGGGATCGGCCACCAGGAAGAATACGTACGTGGACGAGCAGTCGTGGATCGCTCCCCAAAAACCTAATCGCCGCGCACCCCGTGCAAGGTTCTCTGGCGGACAAGGGTTTCGGAGGCACTTGCTTTCCCGCTACTCTGTGCGCGCAGAGGAACGGGACAGGGAAGACAGAGGGTTGCTGAATTGTGGATTCTCTCGGGAGCAGTTGCAGAAGACGGGGTCTGGACTGACGGAGGACTACGGATATATAGTTGCGAAAGGGGAAGGGACGAAGGCATCAGAGAATCTCAGGAGACGGGACGGTAACTGACGCAGTCAGTTCGTCTCCACCATCAAGGAGCGAAACTCCCGTGATAATGTGGATTTAAGTGGCAAAAGATTGGCCACGCCCGCCGCCTGCCTCGCCACGGCCCGCGCCCATGGCCCGGCCCGGCCGGCGGCGGCGCACGCGCGTGTGGCACGCCTTTGTCCTTTTCTCAGCTTCTCAATTAAGATGAATAATTTCCAACCATATAAGCTGAGTCAACGTTCATGCAAAATCTCGTATAGTATTAAACCATACAGCCCTTATTGCTACAAACCATAGAGTTTTATTTGATTTATTAAATATTATATGGGCCAAGCCCATGATATATCAACACAAGACTCGATGTATATATGCACGTGTGACTGTGTGAGCCGGATAGCAGCAATTCCCTCATGCATATATATACTTCATACATGATACATGTATGTATCTATAGATACGGATCTGTCCCTGTCCGTCATGGTATCATCAGCTCCATCTGCACATGCAGCTGGCCCATGCATCATGCATGCACGTATAGATTCAGAGTAGAGATTGTTAGATCGCATGACCAGATGGTGGAGCTGTTGTACTATACGGCCTCCTTCACCGTGACCAGCACCACCTCATGAGTACGTGTCCTGCTATAAATGAAGAATTGAAACATCATATCAAAATTGGGTCAAATGTCCGTTGTATATATGGTCATGAACCGCCATGGTTGTGGAGATGTTTGCGGCGTCCCTTCTATTTGCTATTGCATGCTGGTGAGCTACGCAATGAGCTAGATCGGTTTCTTAGGCTTGTCTCTTCTAATCGTTAGTCATGCTCTTTGTTTTAACTGATCTTGGAAGAAGCAACGCGATAGGCTCTGGCTGGGTACCCAAACGGTTGTTGTACACGACCTTAGATCCTCAAATCAGGGCCGCTTCGAACGTCCCTTCACTGTTGGATTTTGAACCGGCACAACAAAACAGGCAGTGATGATGGTACACATCAATGCCGGTTCTTATAAACCGGTAGTGATCACAATCTTCAATGCTGGTTTTACACAAAAAAATAAATCTTCATGGCTGGTTTGTTACACGAGCCGGCAGTGTTTTGTGTAGCCAACAATGTCAGTTTGTGTGATCGACACTGATGATGGAAAAAAAACACTACCTATTCATCACACAGTCCGACAGTGTTGTTCCTGTAAGTACTTATTAGACATCATAAATTGTTTGGCTTTTTGAAAAAAAAAAAAACAAGAATTGTATTTTTTTCGGAGGAAGTAATTCATTTATTCTCTCGGATCCCAATATTTAATGGGTGTATATAGGCCGGCCGGCATGCATGCAATGCAAGAGCGAGCTGCCAATACAATTAATCCAAAGCTGACATCCAGTCCCAGAGACCGAGTACGTATATGTGTTTGTGGTCCTTGATTCAATTCTCTCTGTATGGGCAGCGCAGGCCGGCACTAGGACGACGACGACGACGCAGATCGATCGAGCAGCGCCGCAGTGTTCACGTGCATCTATATATCTTTCCTGCTCGCTAGCGTCCATCGGTCGTCGGTTGAGTTCAGTTCAAAGCGAGCCTAATTTAATCGAAAAAAACAGGGTCATTATTACTTCGATCGATCTATGCGCGCTTTCATTCAGTACGTGTTTATTACGAGTGAGACCGTCATCATCTAATCTTATAATTAATAATCTTTGTGTTTAATTATTTGCAAGAACCATTATTAGCTTGCATTACTATTGCTTCTGAATGAAACAGCCGAGATGCATGCGTGGAGTATACGTGTGGGTAACGTAGTAGGTGAAGCATGACTACTAGCTATAGATAGATGGATGATCTCTCTCTCATCGCATCCGCCATGCATTGCATGCATCCATATTTCCCATTCCGATTCATGTGAACTGGCGACCGACGATGCGACGGACGCATTAGTTTACTTGTCGTCCGACAAAGCGAGTTAGCAAAGTCAAAAAGCCTATCCACTCTTGTCGAATCAATCATATGCATGCGTGGTTAATTTCCACCAAAAAATTATATATTCACAAGCAATTATGCCCTTGTTTGTCACGGCTTCTCCAACTGCTTCAAGAGTTATTTTCTGTCAAATAGGGTAAAATAAAATGGCTTCACCCTGGAAGCCTCTTAAATCGTGCTCACACAAAGATTTAAGGTGGGATGAGCAAAAAATAGTGTTTTCACCTGGCTTCACCTCATCCTGGCATAGGCCCTACATGAGGTTCTGTGAGTGCATGTTTTAAGGAACTCTACATGTGGACAGCGACAATAATGACAGACATAGATCTTGATATCAATACTGGCAATCCAAGCGCGACACCAAACAAATCAGATAAGCCAACAACAAGGAAGGGCGTGCAGAACTACAAATGCAAAACAGTTACTATTTCCACCGCTTTAGATTATAAAAGTCATTTTGGTTTTCTTAGATTTTTTAAAAACGAACGGCAAGAGATTTGCCATGAGTTTAGAAAACAAGAACGAAGAATAAGAGGGTTTGCCAAGTCCCTATAATAGACCTTAAAAACACAACTCAGTACGACTATGAAAAGCCCGTATGGCTTTCTTAGATACATAGATAACTTTATTATGTATCTAGATATAGCGTAAATCTAGATAAATAACCAAGGACTATGTACTTAGAAATGTCAAATGAAACGACTTTGAACCCAGGGAGTAGCTAGCCTACAGTAGACGGCCGCTAGCAATATAGGTTGGGTCCACAAACTTACAGTTTAAGAGGAAACAAATAAGCATGCATCTCTTCTGCAGTTGCCGCATATATATGCTGCTACACTGTCTATCGGTCAGATAGAGATGGCCCAACGTATGTCACAATCCTTCCTGCCATTGATGTCTCCACCACTTCTTCAACGTTGCACTGGTGGCCAGTCTCTGCCCCCTGCAGGAGTGCTCCAAACTTCCTGCATGCATGCATGCTCTCCCATCATCATGTTCAGACCAATCATGAGTAGCTACAATGCACGCATAGTATCTTGATCTGAAGAACCCCTTTTATTTAAAATTGTTATTAATAAAAGTCCAGTAGGGGGAAACCCCTCCTATTTTCTTAAAAAAAAACAATGCACGCATATATATGCAGTTTAATTTCCATGAAATAAAGGACCCACAACACTAGCCAAATTAAAGCGCCATATATTCTTTGTTGTGTGCCTTGCGTTACTACTAGTAGATACAATTAATTTGTAACATGCTACTCCTTCTAGTGAATGATTTGCAGTATTATAATACCATGCGTTGATTGTTTGGATAAACTCTTTTTTTCTCGAACACATAAAATGTTTATGCGTCTTTATATTAATGTAGAGAAAATATTCAATACAACACGCTTTAACGGCGCACTAGGGGGTCAATAAATTATATATGGATGCTCGGACCCTCCCTGATGTACTGCAAGCTAAGGGCAGTCCCAATGATGCATTGATGATGGTTTCTATCCTCATTAAATGACTTGCCACGTAGACAAAATGCTGATATGGCAACGTAATTAATGAAGAAAGAGAGCAAACATCATAGAAATGGTTTCCTCATGAAGAAATCATGTCTACTCTTGACCCAATGCACTAAGAAACCATGAAATCGCCATTGAGGAGAAACCACCAGTTTCTAGAGAGCTCGTGTCGCACTCTCATTGGAGGAAGAAGATAGAGTTGGAAGAGAGAAAGAGAAAATAATTATTACTCATAGAAACCATGGGTTGGAAAGCAGTACTTTTTGTGCGGTGTCCTATGTTATAGAAACTACTGGTTTCTTTCGTTGGGACTGCCCTAATAAACTCATTCTTGCCCTCCGGTTCATGCATGTGGATCATTAGAAGGGAATGAGATGAGAACTAATTTCCCCCTCTATTATTTCCTCCCAATCCACTCCAGCCCACGTACATGAGGCCGGCCGGGCATGGGTTCAATTTATTGTTATTGAAACTAGTAGGCCTATGAGATGAGTCTGTGTGTTTTACACATGCATGAAATCAAGCACCAAGTTACAAGAAATGCTAAACAGATACAACATGCAAGAACGACCTTGAATTAGTTGAGGGTGGCGAGAGGCAGAGCAAGATATTATTGAGGTGCACACGCACATACTGTATGTACTATATATTTTCTTCAAGTCGAGTTATGTATATAGTATGATGAAATCTGAAATGCTTAATTAGTAACTGACATCCTCCTTCGTCTTCTTCATTTTGGCACGGTTAGTTGTGTCGTATCTAGCTATATATTGCAGCAGCTAGAACCAACAAATAGCAGAATATATAAGAAAAGAATTAAGAACATCTGAACATATATATACAACCAATAAGATATTTCGAGCTCTAACCTACTACGTACGTGTACGTATATACAGCCTGTTCGGGAGGCCGTATTGTATCGTGGATTATTTACTGCTGGCTGGTTTGGTGTGAGAGAAAAACACTGTTCCCTACTGGAAATTTACGATCGTTTACGAGCAAGCGAACAGGCTGATATATTGGTAGGTTAGGTTTTACGTACCTGCAGGTCTCCGTTTATATTTAGCTGCACAAGTGGAGAGGAAGCGGTGTCCTGCAGTGGATCTTCCTCCTCTAGAATTCCGGTGGTTCTGACAAGATGAAGTACCTCGTCCTTGGTCTTCTTCACCCCTTTCTTCACCGCCTCCTTATTATCCTTGGCTTTGTTGGGCTTGGAGACCGTGGAGGTGGAGGCACTTCCTCTTCCACAGATCAGGACGCCGCCAACATCCCGCAGCTGCTGCTTCTCTCTGTTGGACGCCGACCCGTCCTTCTCCTCGTCAGAGGCTAGCTGCAGGAAGTAGGCCGTCCAGCCGCTGTCGGCGTCCTCGAAATCAGACGTCGCCGCCGCCGCAACAGATGCAGGAGCAAGAGCAGGAGATTGTTGGTGGCGGTGGTGGCTATAGTAGCTGTTGCCGTAGAACGCACTAGTCCGAGATGAGCTGATAGATTCCTCCATTGCAATTTTAACCATCTATCTATCTAGTATATATGCGGCATGCGTGGATATGCATCGTTTTGTGGTTTTGCCTTGGCTTGTGTTTAGCTATATATAGATCGATGATATATCAGCATGGTGAGAGCTAATAGCATATAGGTTCTTGTAACAAATAGCAGGTTGGCTACAGTTCCCTTGTACTACGTAGTTTGGCCGTTTGGGTGATCTATCTGTTTATATGTATCAATGGACGGAGATGCATGGCTGAGAGAGAGAGAGAGAGAGAGAGAGAGAGAGAGAGAGAAATGGTGGAGGCAGCTAGCTTAGCTGCATATGCATCCTCCACTGAAGAGTGAAGAATCACGGATGGATGATGATGATGTTTGCTTTGCATTGCAGCCGAGTAGGAGTATGGATTAATTGCACATGAGCACGCACGCTGGCCGTACAGACACACGCACGCATGCACACGTGTGCCGGACCAGCAGGTAAAGTAGTAGTAATAGCTAGCCTCCCATCCTTGCCTTTCGGCCGCGAAACCTGTAAAATGTAACCGCACCATGCATGCATGTGCTGAGTACTGACGACTGTAGCTAGCAGCTAGCGCCGTTCACACCCTATAGCAATTTGAAAACTTTGCACACACACAGCACCAAATCAAGCAACAAGGAAGGAAACACCACAGCAATTAAAAGGCCATTGAATTAATTTAAAAAAGTTTGAAATTCACATTTTTTATGACTAATATTTGCAAGAGCATAAATTGATCTTGCAAAAATTCATAACAAATATTAAACCATTTATTTTATTTTAGTATTCTCTATTCTCAACCTGAAATAAAAATTTTGGGATGTGACAACATCGACCTTGGGAATTGCGACTTCTCATCCAACCTTTCATTACAAATCGGCTGTTCATGACAATAATTGGATGCGTGACGTCAATCTTCAGAATAGAGACTTCACAACCCAACACTTTGTAGAATTCATTGGGATATTTGGCATGAGGTCAACCGCGTGGAATTAAAACAAAACACGCCGGATTCCATAGCTTGGAAACGAACAAAAAAATGGGTAGTACACCACCGGGTCACACTACGGGAAACACGTGATTTGTCGAGTGCAAAAATCTTTACCGAGTGTCAAATTTCGGGCACTCGGTAAAGACCTGCTTTGCCAAGTGCCGCTTTTCACCGGGTCACTCGGCAAAGAGGCCTTTGCCGATGTGCTCGCACTCTCGACAAAGACCTGCACTTTTCGGCAAGAAGGTTGTCTTTGCTTAGTGCCCTGACTCGCAAAAGCGGACACTTTCGGCAAAGATTGGTAGGGGCCTAACGGCATCCAGTGGCGTCCTCTTTGCCGAGTGCCCCCCGTTTGGCACTCGGCAAAGAATTTATTTAGTAGTATTGTTAGTAGTAAGTAGTGATAGTAGTAGTGTTAGTGTTAGTAGTAGTTGTAGTGGTAGTAGTACTTGTTGTTGTACTACTTCGATACTTTCATATGCATGGAAAGAGAACTAAAGTATATGGCTCGTCTTGGTATATATATGTTTGTTGGCCCAATCGGAAAACCACGAATACCAGAGTTCGTATGCCCGGCACCGATGAGCGCGACTACTACGGCATAGTAGAAGAAATATACGAGCTCAATTTTGAGTGTCGCAAAGCTCCTAATCCAGTCGTATTCAAATGCCATTGGTTCGATCCTAATGTCACGAGAACAGCCCCTGAGATTGGACAAGTCGAAATTCGATAGGATTCTGTCTATCAAGGAGAGGATGTCTATATTGTGGCTCAACAGGCCACGCAAGTTTATTATCTCCCATGGGCGTGCCAAAAAGACCCCAATCTTATCGGTTGGTACCTTCTGCAGTTGGTATCGCCGCACGGTAAACTGCCTGTCCCAAACGATAAGGATTACAACTTTGACCCAAACACACGAGAGTTCTATCAACCAGAGGGGCTAGAAGGGAGGTTTGACATAGACATGTTTTCGCTGATGGGCATGGAAGTAGACAATGACATTGATCAGGACGATGGAGATGAGGACGACGGAGAAGAGGTGCAAAATGCTAAGGACTTACAAATGCTTGAGCGATTACAGTTAGGTGATGACAATGATGACAACGATGGAGATGAGACCGATTTACTCGACAATATTGATAGTGATGACAACACCTATGATCCGGCCGCTGCCGATCGTGAAGAATATTTCTAATTCATGTAATACTATATTATTATTATTATTATTATTATTATTATTATTATTATTATTATTATTATTATTATTATTGCAATTATATTTCGTTCATTTTGCATCTCTTTATAAGTACTTGTAATTTAACTGTGCTAATTGGTTTACTCTTTGAAATTGCAGGCACTCGACAAAATGCCGGGCGGGCGAAGCCCGTCGAACTCCCTCTACATGAGGGAGCGCCACCACCCCACGCCGAGGAGGACCTGTTCGAGCCACCGACGAGGAGGACGAGGGAGCGGCCGTCAGGATGAGGGTGCAGCCGGCTGCCACCCGTGCTTGTCGGGGATTTAGGACGGCCAAAGCAGTGGGCTGCACATAGGAGGGGGTGGCACTTCCTCGACTCATTGGACCACGGGGAGGCGGCGGCAAATGACAAGCAATAGGGGTTCCACTTGCACCGCCTCTGGCTCTACCTCGTCGGGAGTCTACTTGCGCTGCCCCTCGCAGCTCCGTGCCGGCCGATCCCACTTCACCGGCGCCCGGTGATTCACCCAATGGCGACAAGTAAGTATTATTTCACTACTATTTCATATGACATGTTGAAAATCGAATCGAGACTAACAATTCTTCTTAATGACTCTTGCAAAGAACTAGGAAGTTGTGTCCGGAACGGGCGGCACATCAATGGCACCTGGGCCTTCGATTGGCGGCTTCTACTGGCATGGTCACCCTACGCCTCGGTGACTTCGCCGCCCTGGACATGGGACCACTTCTACGCCGTCGAGGACAGCGAGTTCGGCACCGTTGCGGCGCGGATCAAGGCCGAGTTCTGGGTGAGTCTTCATCGCACTAAATTGGTCAATACTACGCATTCATTGGTCATTCTTGAAATAATGAAATGATACATGATGTCTGTATGCAGGACTTCTTCAGGTGCGACGAAGGGTTTGAGGACCGGGCGGCGCGAGTGCAGGACAAGGTCTGTAGGTCCCGACTCTCGGACCTGTACCACGAGACATGGCTCCAGTGCATCATCAACTACAGCGCCGACGTCCTTGGTCAGGTGGTGAGGAAGGCCGATGCCAGGACCAGGACGCTCACCAAGGAGCAGTACCTCTCGGTAAGTACGAAACATTAATACTGACTCCTTCCATGAAGAATAGGTAGGCTTCATTTCATCTTCTGACATATCAATAACTTGATGACATGTAGTAATGTCCTGATTGGTGCGCCAGGCACCGCCTCTGCTGGGAGGCCATTGTGGACAGGTGGCTCTCGGAGGAGTGGGCGGAGAAGCACAACATCCGTCAGGACTGCCGCCTGCAGATGGGTGGGGCGCCACACCACCAAGGCAGCCGGAGCCTCAGCGCGTATGCCCAGACATGGGTAATCTTCTTTGTGTTTTCATCTTTATTTATTTATTCTAACGCTCAATTCTCATTACTTGTAATCATCTTTATGTTTTCCTTGCAGTCCCATGTCGTACGCCCAGGAATGCAACGAGTTCATGGTGTACGCCCTGGCACACAAGGGCAAGTCGACGGCCCTGGAAGTCACCTACAACCCGACGGATGGGCCCGAGGCGTACAGCAACGTGAGCGTCCACAACAAGCTTAGCGAGTACGCCTCGACGGCCCGCGAGCGCCATGGGGAGGACTTCGATCCGGCCACCCAGCCCCTGGACACAGACCTCCTGATGAGGCTGGGAGGAGGGAAGCAGCACGGCCGGTACTGGACGGCGGACAGCACAGTCTACTCCGCCTCTGTTCCCATCCTCGCCGAGATTCGAGCAAGGAGCACGAGCTCCTCCCTCCCCATACGCTCTCGGCAGCAGAGCTCACAGCAGCAGATGGCGGAACTCCGGGTTAGTACTGTTTTATTCGTCGTTCATTGCTTTTACACATCTACCTTGCCTTTGCATTGTTTAAACATTGCGGGTGGAATGTTGCAGGCCGACTTGCGGAGGTTGGAGGCCCAGCAGGCGGCCCAGGCGGAGGCCCATCGGCTGGAGATGGAGGCTGTACAAGCCCAGAGGGCGGCCGAGGCGCAGAGGCTGCAGGACATGTTTAGCTTCATGGCGAGCCTTCAGGCCTTGCCAGGTGTGGTCGTGCCCCAGTCGCTGCTCGCTCCAGTTGTGGCTCCTCCTCCTCTTGTAGGGACTCCGATGAGTATATATGGTTGTTTATTCCTTTAGCTTGTGCGGCCCTCCTGTAGATACTCATGAATTCGCTTCTCCTTTGTGCAGCCACAGTTGGCGGGTTCGAACCGGACTCCTCAAGGTGGCCTTTCTCCATAGGCCGGGTGGCCAACTGGCCCTCCTCAAGGTGACAGTTCACACTCTGGGTGGGGAGGCTGGCAGTAGGTACCGTTTATTTGTTTTTTTTCATGTTGCATGGACTTGTGTTAGACTTAGACTTATGTTGGACTACTACTAGAGACATATATATATTGTGATGGATATTGTCATGGATGATGCGAATGTATGTGATGGATTATGGATAATGGATTTGTACGTGATGTATTATGGATGGTGGATGTATATGTGATGGGTTATGGATGTGTATGTGATGGAATATGGATGTGTATGTGATATATCCTGTGTTGTGTGTTGATATATATGTGATTTCTTTGTTTGTGCTGATAGAAAGCAAAAAACCAAAAAAATAGCATTTTTCCCTCTTTGTCGAGTGCCACACGGCTTTTCCGAGTGCCGTGACCATGACACTCGGCAAAGCTGGGGAGCAGAGACCCAATTTCCCAGCTTTGCCGAGTGCCAGAGCCATGGCACTCGGCAAAGATTTTTTTTAAAAAAAAAATTCTTTGCCG